GTATTGTCCGACGAATGCGAATTATCAAGACTTTATGAGAGAATTTTTAACGAGAGAATTTTAATAAGAATCGTGATGCCGGCACTTCGAATGTATTGTACGTGAGGATAATAAAAAAATATCGCTGCTTTATTATTCAAACAGTTTGATCTTAATCCTCCCTATTATTTTCGAAAGATAAGTTCATCCTGTAAAAAGAGTGCACTAAAATCGTCTTATAAGAGTTTCTGCTTGCACAATTGTCTAATATTGTCATATACAGGGAAAAAATGTACTAAATTTTAACAAATATTTGATTAAACTTAACATTTACTTACGATAAATAAATGTTTACTACATAAAAAGAAATGACAGTTAAATCAAATTAATGGTTCTTGTATCAATAAATATGTTTACATTTAATAAATGTTCAGCTAGTATTAAATCAAAACAAATATTTATTAAAATTTAGTATATTTTTCTCTCGATGTAAGAATTCAGTTCGCATACAATTATTACTTGCATGTTAAAATCGTTGCCTGTAAAATAAAATTAAAAAATTTATATATTATCATCTAATTTCGAAAATGGATAAAGTTATACAGTTTTACGAAATAAACTACCGTCGGTTTCTTTGTTTTATATTCACTGATAAATAAGAAAGCGTTGATTCTGAAAAGGACAAAGGATAGAAAGATGGAAAAACTAGGAGTTGCAGACTAGATAGAGACATATATATGATATATATATATATATATTTTTTTTTTTTTTTATATAGATAATATATTTTTTCGTGCAGTCTATTTTTCCGGTCAAACGATATATTTGCACGGGTGTATAACAAAGGTTCTCCTGTAAACGGACTATAGACTCGTTAACATATCCAACATCGAAGATTATGTCAAACCAGATACAATTAATAATCCGCAGCCATTCTCACGCCGGTTCGAGTCAAACCTCCTCTCCTATCTCGACACAATGAATTCAAAATAAAATTATAAAAGATACTCACACATAGTGAATCGTTGGTAAATCTGATTATTCTATCGTGATTTATTCGACTCGCAATCTACTGATCGCGCGTCTTGATCGTGCTGAACGCTGTGTGGTGGATCGTATCCTGTATCTTAGGCCGGTATTTATAGTCAATTCCGATTTCAAGACTATCTTAAGTAATCTTACACTGAAAAAAAAGATTGATTGCTGCAACAATTTAGTAAAATATGACATATCATTTTTATATGGTTGCAGCAATCAATTTGTTGCTACAACCAAAAACTGATTATTGCAATCATATAAAAATGCTATGCCATATTTTACTATCTAAATTGTTGCAGCAACCAATCTTTTTTTTCAGTGTATGTAATAAATTGTATTAGCGCATCTTAAGTAGTTTTAAGATACTAATACAGTTCTGTGATTGATTCGTAATATTTTAAGACTGTATTTAAAATGATCTTAAATATAAGAACCGACTATGAATATCGGCAATAAAAAAAAACTAGTATTTCTTTTTATAAAATACTAGGAATGATAGCTTTGTCAATAACTTTATGTCTCTCTACGCTACAGTTGATAATGCGATAGAGTTACGTTAACGAAAAAAGGGCACTCATGAGAATATATTATAACCGACAACATATAACGAGACAATACTTATTTAATCCCGCTATTTCTAGGTCTACGATTATTTCACCTCGCAAATTCACGCGTGTTAAAACTGATGGAGTTCTTGTAAATGCTCCTTAAATGCCACTTAGACATCCCTTATAAAAATTTAATACTGGAAGGTATGAATTAATTTGATTATTAAAAACATTATTGTTCTTAATAATGCTTTTAATAATAAAAATAAGTAATTTTCAGTATTAAAAAAAACTGAATTAAATTGAATTTTTGTAAGGCCAGTATTAAATTGAATTTTTGTAAGGAATTCGATGCAGAACCATTTCTTCGTGGTTACTCACGAATAAAAAATGCAAATTAATTAAAACGCAGAAATGAATTAAAACGCAAGTATTGAAAGCAATTTGCTACTTTGACGATTACAAAGAATCTTGCCTATTTTGGATTCTTCACATATATAGTAATGAATCATATATTAATGGATAAAAGAATGAATAAATTATATCAAGATATCCATTGAAAAAAATGACAGACTCAGCAAATTGTCTACAAAAACAACCAACAAATAAAAGTTGCTTTTTTAAAAAGTAACTAAGGTAAGACTAAGGTAAGATAATTTTGAATATAGTATAATTCGGAATGAAATAAAATTTAAATTCAACTTTCAAAGTTCAAGTTTAGTAATCTTGATTGACATTGTGTTACTGAAGAAAGTATTAAATGGGAAAAAAATCAAACTTGAACTTTAAGAATTGGATTCAAATCTTATTTTATTCGGAACTATGCTATGTTCGAAATTGTACTACTTTATTTTATGTTTCATTTATATCAATTAATTCATTATTCATTATTCTATTCATAAAAATATTACGGCACAATTACCAAAAAATAAATGAACTTTATATTTTAAATTAAAATACACTGTTAAAAAAACAGAAATTTGCTTCCGTTATATGTAATGGAAGCAAATTTCAAATAGATACATTAAAAATATTTGATATTATCAATGAAAATAAAGTAAGTAACTTAAATTTAACGTTTACTTACGTTAAATTTCATGCAAATCTACATAATGAAAAATGCACTAAAATTTACTTCGTAAAATTTTATAAAAAGTACACTAAATTTCATATACGAATATACTTTTCAGTTGCAGATACATTAAACATAATTTAGTGTTATAAAATTGAATTCAATTTATGTAACTTAAAAGTACATTAAATTTCATGACATTTTTAATAATGTATATGTACAAATGTGTCTAATATTGCAATACATCTCGGAACGACATGAAAAGAACATTTATGGAACATTTTGATCTTATAATATAATTCATTTTATATAATTTCATTTTAGCTGACCTTCGTTATCGACAAAAGAATCCACATAAAAATGGGCAAGATTCTTTATATCCGATCGAGATTAGTACCGTACTCATTTTCATCGCTCGTATGATTTTAACGCGCAGTGAGCTCACGCGAACCGACTCTTCTCCCTGACGTTCGTGACGTTCGTTCGCGACAGAAGAAGGGTTCGCTTTATCTATTTATTTATATGCTTGTGGGTTGCCTACGACACGACGAGGGAAAGTGCGTATCTCGAATCATCGCGTCACGAATTACGTCAAATCACACAACTTGTTTTATGTATTTAATACTGGAACGTTCATTCAAATGCTTAGATTTTATAGGCTTTAATGCTGTCGCGACGCAATATATGGCACTTGGATTACGCGTGTACATCCATTGTTTGTAGGTATTTGCTCTTCTCTGGACTATCGCTGTTAACGAGACAACTCGAAGGGCTAAGCGGACGTAGGAGGTATATCGCAATATCTCTTATTTATTCTCAAATATAAACTGTTATTTGCCAATTACTTTAGGTTCGTCGTTAATTTAATAATGCAATAATATGAATGAAAGTCAAAGGTGAAGCAAACGGCTCGTTATCAAGAATTAATTATAAATGTCAGCTTAAAAAACAAATTGAAATGTTTTATATTTTAATTTTGTATTTTATATATTTTTAAAAAATTAAAATGTACGTAATTGGAAGCAACAGTATAAACTCCGTAATTTTATTTTCTAGAAACTACTGCTTTCTCTATATCATAAATGCGATATATTTCCTTCATTCACTCGTTCCTCCAATCGCAAACAAGCGATTCGCAAAACCGCTGTGCGTGAATAATTTTCACGCCCAACACGATATACCATCGGTGTTATTTCTTGATATAAAAAATTATTCGGAGTGATGTTGTCGCGTAAAACTTGGGAGGAGCTCGCGATTAAGCGTCCGCGATGATCCCAGGCAGTTTAGTGGAATGAAATTGGTTTTACTTTCTCTCTTTTTCCTTGCTAATCCTTGGTTTGCTTTTGCGCGAATGCGGGTACGAACGATTAATTAGCTCCGATTATATGGAGATAAAATAGCTCTCGACTTTTAAACCAAGCGACGAAGCGATATTTTTCACTCTGCAACGCGGTAATAGTGAATAAATCGTTCATTACTAAGCTTTTTCTTTTGAGTCGCGACACTGACCACTTCGTCCTATAAAAGTAAAAATGCTCGATCAAAGCAATAAAGGGATATTGGATTTCGAGATGCCGGAGTAGATACATAGCTAAAAGGAAATAATCTCTATCTTCAAACTGAGAAAATAGCTAGGAAGAATGAAACGGAAACAGTTTTTGTCTCTAGAAGTGCTTTGCGCGTTATCGAAGCCGCGATGGTTATCAAATGACGCTTCGGAAAAATGCGTAATGACAAAGATTTTCTCGTTATTAATACCCATACTTAATGGTACAATGAAAGAAATTAAGACTAAAAGATTAAAAAATATGGGACAATAATAAATTGCAAATTATTAGAAAAATTATTAGAAAAGTTATTAGAATTATTAAAAGAATTAATTATTAGAAAGAAAAATAGGAAAACAAAAATGAATACTTGCAATTCCTTTCAATTAGCGATATCTAACACCGTTACTACAAGAATAACTTACGACTCAAAATATACAAATTAGTCGCCTTTAGTAGAACATTTAATTTGCAACTGTTGGAAATTTTCTTTACCGAGATAGGGCTATTTCTCTAAAAGTACAATCCAATTAGCATCACGAAAACTTTCAACAGTTACAAGCTAAACATTGTGCTAAAAGCGCTCATTAATGTAAACAACAAATAAAATTTTCAGACAATTTTCACTTATAAGCAAAACTGAAATATATAAATAAAAAACGAAGATAAATGCATACGGGAGATTTTTCGTCGCGCCGCGACTTCCCGTTTGTCTTTCCTCACGTTCTATAACTGAAACAAAGAATTAAAATAAAATAAAACTTACCGAAAATTATTAAGTATACCAAAAGACTCGAAGCTTCGATCTTTGCGGCTCTACCCGGCCGCGAGTAACGCCCGAAAGCAGGATTCCAGATACGAGCGTATCAGAGTCCTACGGTGTTTCCTTAAGAAGTTTGTTACACGCTTTTTTTTTTGGTTTCTTTCTTTTCATTTTTCTTTTTCTTTCATTTTACGCTAATCTCTACATGACGGAACATCGTTTGACGTTGTACCTATTATCTTGGTCCACATTGTTAATGCTGAGTACCTTGAGGAGCTTCTCAGTATCCTTGAAGCCGTGCCTGCCGCGCTGCTGCTGTTTCATCAGCATCATCGTCGCCGTCGCCGTTTTTTTCTTCTTCTTCTTCTTCCGCTTGGTCTGCGGCAACGTCAGCTCTAGCATCTGCTCGAGCCGCAGGCGAATAGGCCAACCGGCGTTACCGTCCTCGGTGTCGCGATGATAGCTGTAGCTCGACGTGTTAGGCTCCTGCTGATCCCGGCGCTCCCACCACCATGGGTTCTTGCACGTCTGCTGATCGCGTTGCGACTCCTGATAACCGTCCTCCTCGGCCATCGGTCGTCTCGGCTGCACAAAGGAGTCGTGAACGCGAACCGGTCGTGCCAAGGAGGATCTCTTCTTGGCTGGCGTCAGGTGCGCTGACTGATGCCTCGCCAAAGATTTGCTCAGACTGCCTCTCGTGCTCCGAACTCTCCTGAGTTCGTCGGGAGACATCGATGCCTCCTCGTCGAGATACAACTCCGCACTCGAGGCTGGTAGATGATAATTACCGCGAATCCGATGATTAACGGCGACGGCCTCACCGTCGTTCTTGCCGTTATTGTTGTTACTGTAATTATTGTTGTTGTTCCCACTGCCGCTGGGGCAGTGACTGTTGTCTACGTGACGACACTGTTCGGCGCATTGCAGACAATCGTAATACTTCTCAGCAACATGACGACGCATCGAGAAACGATCACGCATATCGGTGCAATGTCGACGTTCGTTGCTCACAATGACGCTACCGCCTCGTACGACTTGGTGATGATAAGGCTGTCGTCACACCTCCTGCAGATATTTGAGAGGGCAGAGAATTTCCTTGTAGAGAACGTCGCCCTCCTTGCCCGTGTGATCAGCGGAACGCACGTCCGCTGCGCATCTTACCATCGCCACCCCATCCATTTCTTCGCCCACTTGGATCACGATCTATATATGTATATATATATATATATGTATATATATACATTGTGTAACGAAACGAAAAGATTAAACTTTTACATTCGCTTTCTCAAAGTAGGGTGGAGCTATTCTGTCAATTTCAAACTTAAACTAATATGGCGGCAAACAATACCTCTTTGCAGTGTCGTGATTACAATTACTTTATACAATCATGATTGCTTTTTGAGAGTACAAGCACGACTTTAAATATTCAATATGTACTGTTCAGAAACATTATCACAAGAAATGAACAAAAAAGCTCTACCCTGTAAAAATTCTTTTAAATGTAAAAATTTAATAAATATTGACGTAAGTAAAACTAAGGCAATGCGAATTGAAAATCTGGTGATTTTTCTTTTTAAATACTTCACGAATTGTTTTAAACAATTTTTAACACCACGCAACGCACATAAATACCTGATCTCGTAGCAGAGTTTGATCAGCCAGTTGCAAGTTGCGTGTGACCTGAAGAGTTCGTTGACCAGATTCCACTCGCATAACGTACGCACTTGGAAAATAACCAATACGGCCACCAAGACATTTGCCTTTCCACCAATCTTTCTCAGATTTGTCGATTACCGTGATTTTGTAACCGGCCCTGTAATTACGTACGTAAACCAACATTCCGCAATCAAACACACGAATAGTATCGAACATTAATTGGAGCGTATATTAAATTAGTTATAATTTGTTATAATATACGAGCACGAGAAAAGAGAACAATCTAACGAAATAGTTATTCTTGCGTAATAAATCGTGATATACAATATATTTATTACAAAAGCAAAATTTTCCTCATATTTTAATTGTTAATATCAGAAAAGGGTGTTATAAATTAAAAGACTTGCTTTTATGTTCGGGAAAAGTAAAACCGATATCATTACTCTTATAGTTTTTGAGGTGAAAAATATGATGGTGCTAGTTAAAATTACGTCACATAATGGGAATAAATAAAAAATTCAAATTTAAATCGAGAAAAAAGCTTGGCGTTGCAGTCATTCATAAGACAGATTAACACGCTTCATGTCCTAGGGAGAAATAAAAAACCGGATCGACGTCAATTAGACATTGACAGACATCTAAGTGACACCTAAGTGACATCTAATTGATGTCTAATCGACGTCAATCTGATTTTTATTTCTCCATGGAGTATCGCCGATACACAGTGTATTACCATCTTTTTGACACATAAAAATAGAAAATAAATATAGAATAAATAAATATAGATAAATATAGAATATCTTATAAAAATGCTATATATTTTTGCTTAACAGCAAAAATATTTGCAACTAGGGTAACAGCCACATTCTTCTAAGAGTACATGTAATCTTTTTGAGATCATAAAACTTCTCATTTAATTAAAATCTAATATCTATATCATTATATATTAATAAAAATTATCAATAAAAATTATGTTTCAGGAATTTTATTTTATTAAATACCTACAGTTAATGCATAAGAAAATTATACTCTCTCCTTCGATCCCCGGATCATCTTTTATATCTTAAAAAGTAAGTTTAAATGCTTATAATTTAAAAATTAACTTTAAGTGCTTGTAATTAAAAACTATTATACTCTCGACATTAGATTCGTCTCACAAATGATTTCGGAAATCTGTCCTTAAACATTATTACGGTCTTTATGGAACATCCTGTATATCTGTTTCAATATCAATGAATCATCTACGTTAATTCACGCGAGATTATGTAACAAGCCGCTTATATATATAAAAGTAATTACATACTCGATTTAATGTTATTATGATTTATTTAATGTTATTATGACGTCGATATTATTATTCCTTGCCACGTTCAATGCTATTGCACAAATACAAAATTGAAACTTCGCGCGTTCCAAATCGCGCGGGAAGATAGCGTCACTATGAAGTTAGCTGCGTATACAAGGCTGCGTTCCGTTACACGCATGATGCGCATGATGCATCATTTATCCTTGTTTAATATTCAGTGAATAACAAGGATAAATAATGCAGCATGTGCATCATGCGTGAACGGAACGCTCAAGTCACGTTCCCTATTTCAAACTGACTCGCTTCGCACCAGCGCGGCGCAACGGTGTATACATAATATTCATATAATATTCGTTGACAACAATTGAAACACAACTGTTTTGTTACGCAAAATGTAAACAATTGCTGCGCCGTTATCGTTATTACCGGAACTATGAAAATATCGTTTTTCTGAAAAATCTTGAAAAATATTGGATGTGTTCAAGCCATCTATAAAGCAGCTAGCCTGTTCGCCGAGCAATTGAATGTGATTGGTTGGATTTATAAGTAACAACTAATCATGTTTATTTGCTTGGCAAGTAGGTTAGCCGCTTTGTAAATTTGAATGCGTTCATTCACTGGTCCGCGCGTTATCCTGTTTGCCAACTCGGAGCCGACGGGAGTGATGGTAATAGCATTTTTCACTGGCAGAACTGGTGCGCATTAAAACTGTTGTAATTAACTTAATCTGAATGTAAAAGTGAGATATCTCAGTTAATAAAATATCCCATAGGTGCATCCAGAAGCATGATCGCTTACTGAGCATTTAATGATCTCTTGTACCTGTTTGGTCTATATTTTTACATCTAATGGAATATGCCAATCAAATGCAAGAACTCATTAAACGGTGAGCGGTTGTGCTTCTAGATAATCTAGATGCACCCATTAGGCACGTTCAGATTGACAAAGCGGCTAGCTTGCTCGCCGAGCAAATGAACATAATTGGTTGTTACTTATAGATCCAACCAATTCAACCGTTCAGTAAGCATGCCTAGATATTTTGTCGTCTTGAACTCGTCCATTGACAGTATGGAGTTACGTTGCCCGCTGTCAATCATCCAGATACTCTGGATTCAATCAGCGTTTCTTTGCGTTTTCTTGCAATTTATTCGTAACAGGTCTTGCAAGTGTCAGCCTTGTCAGAGTTGTCGGATTGAGTGACGGATGATGATTTCGAACCGTGAGTTGTGCGTGAGTCGAACGTACATGATCGTGTCTGATGCCAGTCATCCATCTATCCGTCCGCTTTCTGTTCGAATTTGTAAGTGTACCTAGAGCCTTGAGGAAATGTGGAGGAGAAAAGCAGAATTGACTGACAGAAGTAATTTCGATAGGATAATGGTCGGCGAGTAGCGTGCCGTTAATACGTATTTTCTTGACGTCTTTGAATTTTTGATATACTTTGAGCTCACAAATGTATACATAAGTTGATTTACGAGATTCTTGTAGTAGTGAGTATCTAATTTGACGCGAGATCTAGCCCGTTTAATGAAAAATCCGCCGTTGAATGAACTGCAGTTTGCTACATTTAGCGGGACAGATTCATCAAGTAAACTCCGCGCGATCATTGAAGTTGTTGAATAAAGTTATATCGTGTCATATATACCTATGATAATTTCATCGAATGAAATCTATGCGACCATATCGCTGAATAAAGAATATTGCGTCAGTAATATGGATTATTCTTATAGTTTGGAATGCTATAGAAAATATAACGGGCGACGATTATATAGTGATCTAATTGAGACATAATTGTATTTATTAACTTCGCTATTACATTAAAATCAGAGTTGCGTAAGTTAATGTTTTTTTTTAATTGAATAAAGTTAAAGTTAATGGCTTTATAAAATTAATGAAGTTAAGTTAAAAGTTGAAGGAATAAAAAATTAACGTAAGTTAGTCAATATTGAATTAACTTAAGTTTAAAAAAAAGTTAATTTTGAAAAAAATTATTTTTTAGATCAAAATGTCCTAATTTTTCTTAAAATGAGATTAAATAACTACAATATAGATTATTAAGTAAATTAAATTTTTAATTTTTTTTATTCATATGTGATATAAGTACATACACATAACGATATAATTATATAAATTATAAACTTTGAAAAAACAGTCAGCACATAAAGGAGATACAAAATCAGTGATTACTTTTATAAGTCTTAAGCCATAAGAACTTGACCAATTACAATCGAATACGAGAAGAATATTTGACTGTAATTGGTCAATTTCTTAAGGCTTAAAACATCTATTATAGATCCGGACTAAGGCTTACGACATAACTGCATAAACCAATCAGAGGGCTGTATTAGCATCTTAAGAAATTATTTAACATGGTTTTAAAATATGAAGAGATTACGAATATACGCCCTTAGTCTTATTATATTTTTCTAAGATATTTAAAAGAGATAAAAAAATTGTTTAAATTAAAAAAAAGTTAAAATGTTAACGTTTAAAAGTAACTTAGTTAAGTTAAAATTTAATACATTTAAAATTAACTAAGTTAAACTAAAAGTTATTAACTTTTTAACTTTTTTTTTAACTTTTAATATTTTAACTAGTTACTACCCAACCCTAATTAAAATGCAGCGAGCGAATAAATCAAAAAAAGTGAAAGTGCGCGAATGAATCAACAGTGTCATTTGAAACAATGAGCAATCTTTATAAGTTTATTAGTTTATCTAATGATAAGTGTATGCTAATTATTAATTTTATGAATTTTTAGGCTGAAAGGATAAGCTAGAATCAGCGGAGTAGCAGAGAAGAAAAGGAGTGAAGAAGCAGCTGGCAGTACATCGATTTGGTAAGTCAATTAATTAATTAATTATTTACGATCAATGTCGCGTCATTCGCAATACTTTTTGTCGTTGCATGCAAGAATTTTAATAATGGAATTACAAATACTTGCGTGCGGAAGAGTGTTTAAGATACGTACATTGTTATAATTACTTTTGAATTATATTTTTTTAAAATTATAATTGCACAAATTACTTGTAAAATAAACTAAATATTCCAAATAATTTGAATAAATCTGATCTTATAATTAATTACATATAATATTTAAGTACATATAAAAAAAAATATATAAATGTATAAAAAAATACATAAAACAATTATTTCAGGCATATTTTATCTTTTTGAAATAAAAGTATTCATGTTTATAACTAACTATTAGATTGTTAATATGAGGGCTTATAAAAAGGGATGGAGAAACGCTGGTTTTTTCTATGCAGTATGAAACAAGTTCTTACTTAAGATCCAGCTCGTCTGGATGTCGTGCCTCGAAGTTGTACAGAACAACGTAGAGATTATTCGGTGGCAGAACACGCTTGCCGGGTGGATTCAAGTGGTTCTGATTATTGGTGTGTGGCGATGGACACGGCGACGTGCTCGCCGACGAGTATGACTTCTCATTATCGTCCGGTAGCTCCATACTGGACATCCGAATGGCGTTTCGCACATGTTTGTGCATTCCGTGACTCTGACCCGGGCTGCAGGGTGCTGGAAATAACATTTGCACGCGAACTTGCGGCTCGTTATTATTGTTCAAAGACTAATTAAGCTGACACATGTAAAATGACAATTTCGCGTTTTCATGTAAAATTGAAGTTTAAGTTCTTAAATATATTCTGTATCATTTTCTTTTGAAGCAAACAATTGCAGAATTTATCTAGATAAAACGCAATTTTTATAAAAAAAAATTGTTTGCATATAAAAACTTATATATGTATGTCTTAAATTCATTAAAATTTATTTTGTTTTTAATTTTTCTTTCTACGTGTATCAGATTTATATTACGAATTACTATTTATATTACTATAAGATTACGTGTACCGATTTGCAAGTTATAAAAAAATATATAAATGTTTTAGTATTTTGCATTTTATTAATATTAATAAAAAATTTAAATTTTTTAAGAATTTAAATTCGAGAATTAAAATATAAATTTACAAAATATTTACACGCGAATAATTGAGAACGAACAAATTTTATTAACTTTCGTAACCCAAATATTTTTCCATAACTAAATTCTTAAAACATTCAAGTTTAACTAAACGAGCTTTTAAATAGTTTTATCGAAAGCTCTCTTATAAAAACAATCCATTTTACATGTACCAGTCTAATATTAGAGTAACTCCGGTATATATGCCGCATCTATCAGAAACTTAATTTATTAAGTATTATTTACTATGTTTAAAATAAACGAACTATATAAGTAAAAACTTTGTACTATTATGGAAAAAATTGGAAATCCGAAATATTTTTTTTTTATTAAAAAATGAACTTTTTAAAATCTTTGTATTTTACTGTATATCCCATAAAGGTGAGATATATGACTACTCCATAAAAGGAGGGGAGATATGTATGGCTCATGAAAAATTTACAAATAATGCATATAAATAATAATATTTGTAAAATGACACGATAACTAATAAAATGCGTTTATAAAGTTTTATTAAGGAATACAAATGATAAATATGTATATAAAGTAATAATTTTCTCACATATATTACAAGTGTTATGACATGAGGTATATATTTCATGTAATGAGTTTATTGCATTGAATTCAATCTGCCGACTTTGTATACTTTGGGCATAAATCCCGTCCGTTAAAAATGCCGTATAATCCCAAACAGGTGGGATATACAAGACAACAAACAAAAAAGCAAAGTACTTGTATTTTGTTATACAACATGCTTTATTATTCCTCTACACTCATGATCACGAAATAACCGTTAAGTCTTTTGCACGTCCTACAGTAATCATTTTATGTATTATAATTTATGATGGCGCTACTCAACACAGTGACAAATATCGATTCAACTCACAATAATTTCATTAATATTAACAGTAAGAAACTGAAATCATAACACAATACTAATATAACATAAAGGCATGTAACAGAGAGTAGTTGCGGGAAAATTACCCCCACTCCTTCTATTTTTTCTGATTTCTGCGGCGTAAATCCCAGCGCGGCATATTTGCCGGAGTTACCTTATATATCACGATATTACGTTTGCGGTTACTTACACAGCCTGTTGATACTGCCACTGTCAGAATGTCGAGGCGGTGTGGTTTCTCTTGCACCCGCGGCATAATAATCCCGCGGACGACGCACGTGCGCAGTGCCTTCCGGAGAATCCAGACTGAGACTCTTCATCCGCAGATTCAGCCTCTCGCGTCTACGTTGCGGACTATGCGGTGCTTGGTTTTTCATAATTATTGGTTAGAAACGTGTTAGCCACAATAAAAGTTGCATTTTCCACGCTGACATCGAAAATTAGATATAATAAATCACGATTGATAAAAGAAATTTCTGAAATTATGAAAATTTAAGCCGTTCTGATATGTATATATCTTCTTTTAATGAACAATTTAAATTTGTTTCATAAAAAATGATTTGACGAAAAATGAAAAATAATATTTTTTTTTAACAAATGTAATAATTACGTTTTATAAAGATAAGTAGCCTAACCTTAAAATAATCTCCAAATTGATTTAGTAATGCTAAATTCCAAATCTGAATATTTAATTTCAATCTGAATATTTATTCAATTTCTACCCTTCCAATAAAATTTATTTTAAAATTTTCATTCGCGACTCTTTAATGACTACTGTAGATAAAAAATTCCGAAAAAAGAGTAATGAATAATTAATGAAATTTTTATAATTAGTTGAATGATAGATTAGTTGAATGATAGATAATTTCATTTTTATAAGTAAAATTCTTTTTTTTACAAATAAAGTTCGTGAAGGTATCTATCTTGAAAGAGAGATAATCGATCGTCAGCGTCGAATATGGAAATACTGGCTGTACGAGCAAGCAGAGCAAGCAATTTTTTTACAAATGCACTCTAATTACTTAACATAATTTATATACTGAAATAAAAAGCTTATAAGCAGCACAATATATAACGGGACACGACTCGCAACAAAATATGAAAAATATCGAAATTGCAGAAAATAAGATTTTTATTTACAATATTTACATATGCTTTCCGAAAAAATTCGCAAATAATATTCTGGATGTGCGCGCGTAAAATAATAATTCTCTGCATAACAAACCCTTTAATTCTATTATTCTAATTGTAAGTAATGTATATTTTTAATCTTCTTCTCCTAATTGCGTATTTCGATGGTACAAGTGTTATATTGTACAACGATAAATTATAACAACAAAAACTGCAATATTCGGTGTACAAAGATTCAACTGATGAGTCTTTTGAAGCAAAAAAAAACGAGCGTTTCTCTCGCAATGAACTTAAAGCATCGTTGTAAAGACATTACAACGTCTCTCTAAGCTTATTGTTAAATATTTACTTTCGCTCTACTGCCGATAAAAGCACGTTTCTAAAATTTTATAACACGAAATTACATGGTCAACTGTCCTAAGATTGTTTTTGACTTCATATATTGTACATTATGAAATAGAAATAAACGAAAGAGAAAAAATGTTGAGTGATTAAGCAGCATATTGGTGATAGAAATAAACGCGAAATAAATCCTATTTTGTTTGTGATAATGAAAGATATACAGTGCCCACACATAGTGGAGCCGATAAAACAGCCTCGCTATCAGCATAAAAAGCGATAATGGCTGTGTTATGTCGATTTAAATCGACAGCAAAGCGCAAATTGTCTTCCGTAAGTTGTATTTACATACATATGTAAAATACGAACCACAAGCTGCGATTGGTTTTCTATTCACTTAAGCAATAAATCTGTTTTTGCGATTTAATTTGTTACAGTAGTCGATATCTACGAACATACAGTTATTGAAACGTATTTTTGAAGTTTTCTATGAAAAAGCAAGATTTTTCTTCTTTAATTTAATTTTTTTAAATTCGTATTTATAAATCATTTATACTGTCTCTTGTGGAGTGAAATCTTACTCAAAAAGAGTGAAAATACTGTCACTATTGAAAAAGAGTGAAAATATTTGTACTCTTGAATAAAAATAACGGATTGTTACCCTTTTGGAATGAGATTCATTTCAAAGGAAAGAAATCTTACTCCTTTTAAAGGAATAAGATTTTATTCCTTTAGAGTGAATTTCACTCCAAAAAAAGTGAAAATCTGCCACTTTTATTCAAGAATGCAAATATTTTTACTTCTTTTTTAATAGTGACAGTATTTTCACTCTTTTGGAGTGAGATTTCACTCCAAGAAAGAACATCAACGAAAAATAACAAGAACGAAAAATATAAGAAAGAAGGCCTTAATTAAATCGATTGAAATCTCTTGAAATGATGATTTAATAATTCGCGAAAACGAATAGAAATGTAATAATAAATTTTCTTTATTCTGATATTCCTGCAGACAAATTCTTCTGTATCTTAATTTACGTTTTATGCATATTATATTTTCGAAATGGTTTATGTTTCAAAATAGTTAGTATATCAAACTGGAACTTTTATTCAACTTATATTTTAATTCAGAATGACAGCTTTTGGAACGGTGCTCTCCCGTTAAACAATCCTAAGCATGATGGATCGTCGCAAATGATCATTGCAATGTCGAATGGGTGTGTGTGTATGTGTATGTATGAATAGATAAATAGGCAAATACTTCGTGATGGGCGAATCAGGTTCAATTTAAAAACATGTATTTGCGCTCTTCTCGTCAATCCTGCGTGATCCTACGCTCTTTCTCTATATTCTGGATATATCTCATCGTATTTTTCCGCCTCTTCTTCGTGCAGCTAGCTAATTATTTCAGGGAAATAAATTTCCAATGATCATGCATTCGTGATGAGTTCGAATCGCGTGAGGAATCTGCTTTTCGATTGCTCCGGATATAATATATAGCAATCTATTATATGTATATAGAGCCGGATCGATACATTCGAGAATCAAATAGCCACGTTTGCGCATCTGTCCGATATTCGCTGTCTCTGTGGTCATCCATTAGCGTCTATTAATCAACGAGTGCGAAATATCTCCTCAAACATGTTACAAAATGTAGTCAAGGACGTCGAAGTATAATTAATTAACGTATAGATGATGTTATTTATTGTACAATATATAATACGGACTAAATATGTTTTAATAGACACATTTAGTCCGTATTTTAATAGAAATGTCCACTGGATATTTTTAAATATCCTGAAACATTCTAGACTTTTTAATATTTAATACTGCTATTATACATAGCCGTGAATCGCGCACAGATATAACACAAAATATTCATTACGTCCTCTTCATGTAATAGTCCTTCATGTATAATAATTTATGTAGCAATTAAACGAACGTTCAATGCTTGTTTCTACTAACAGATTAATTTTTAATCTCAGTTCGACATACTCTCAATGTTTTTCTAATGCTCATTTCTATGTAGAATTAAACTTGAATCTTAGTTTTAACTCACATTTTTTATTTTCTTCTAGTTCTAAGAATTAGGACAAGATGAAAAATAAATAAACCGAGATTAAAGTTAATTTACATTAATAGAAATGAATTTTTATAATTCTGTAGAAAAAGATGAAGAGAATTGAACCGAGATTAAAGTTAATCTATATTGATGGAAATGAGAGCATAAAAATCTAGGGATTATCGGGATATTCGACGGATATCCAAAAATGTCCGTCAAATATATGTTTTTCTCGTACGGAATCGTGGGAAGAAAATCGGGTAACGCCGAGTTGTACAAACGAATAAATAAAATCGATAGTGCTCGAGCGAAAAGAAAAATGACGAGACCGGCGACGCCACGGTGTCCTCGGGATGAATCCTTCCCGAAAGGATTTGTATCCACGGATGCACTCGCGCAAATGCGTCATTCAACCGAGACAACGCGATGCAACGCGATACGACGCATTGTCATCGTTTTTTATTGGCGCCGCGTTGTGCTTGCACGTCCATCTCGGGTGTCCTTAGCGAAGCCGACGTCGAAGGCGGTGATTCCTGCGACATCAGCACCAGAGGCTGCCCGAAGGGTCGCGTACCGGAAGTGGATCCACCGCTGCCGCGCCCTGATCAATCAAATTTCAATAACGATCACAGCGCACATGCGATCTCTTTCGGTGGAAGTCAGTTTGTCTCTGATTCACTCTCCACTCGATTTCTCAATTGATTTCTCAGTCTCAAAGTTGTTTAAGGTTATGGAATCGTCAAACTCGCACAAGTTCTCATTAAGCTAGCACAGGCTAGAAATTTCAATGTTACTGATGTTCTTCGAAGGGGGGGGGGGGGGGG